AATATTGAAGTAATAATTCTTAGTAATTATCAAGACCTCTGTCATTCGGTTTGGTAAAGTATTCGCAACTATTGGAAAATGCAAGGTAATAAAAGCGTAAAAGCAAAAAAGAGATAGGTGTTCATCCGGCTAGGCCGGGTTCTCTGGTCCTTGTCTTAATAGGCTAATGCGACGTTCACTTTACTAAACGTGCACCTCAGAGATGACTTGCGAATGTACCTTATGACAGGGTATATTTCTATTGGTAGTAAATAGGTTTGGGTGGCGTACACTTGTCAAATGAATCGAATATCAATATGCAAAATCACTGTCAGTTGGTGTGGTAAAGTATTCGCAATTATTGGAAAATGCAAGGTAATAAAAGCGTAAAAGCGATAGAGAGATAGGTGTTCATCCGGCTAGGCCGGGTTCTCTGGTCCTTGTCTTAATAGGCTAATGCGACGTTCACTTTACTAAACGTGCACCTCAGAGATGACTTGCGAATGTACCTTCTGACAGGATATAGTTTCTAATGTGTACAGAAGAATTAGCGGCATTCAATTCGCTAATATGTGGTAGGATACAGGGTTACATACATATATAAATAAGTAGTGATATAATAAAATACATAAGTATATTTATTATAATAGATTGAATAAGTATGCGATATCGGTTAAATAATATTGAATAGTATTGGATAAAATATTGAGTAGATCGACGATTGTAACGCAGACGTATGCAGATGCAAATCGTAGATTGAAATAATATCGGAAACGCAGAGTAATATGTGGCTTATGTCTATGCTCAAAATTCAGAGTTCGAAATGTAATGTAAGATTGAGTTGATATTGGATAATTAAATATAATGATTAAATATAATGATTAAGTATAATGAGTGCCCGTCGCGCTTTACTATTTAGGGATATGTGAACTCCCTCTCGTTGTCCGCCACCTTGTCGTGGTGAGAGGGCTCACCCTTTGCAAGAGGATACTCTTGCGAGGGGTGCCAAGAGCGGACCGTACCTTCCGAGGTACACTGCCCCCGGTCTCGGGGGCACGCCCTCCGTCTCTGTGGGCTCTCCTCGGGCGGTGGAAGAATTCCACCCCCCGGGGAGACGGGGCCCACTTCCCCGTAAGAGCTTCGGCTCGTATGTGGTAAGGGATGGCGACCCGGAATTCAAACGCCCGGTGGCATGGCACCGTTAGGAGAGGGGACTGCACGGCGCTTCGGCGCTTCCCCTCCCACCATGCTCTGTGGCCCGGTGAACCTACCGGGTAGGCGGCTTCTGCCGCCCGGGGTTTTTCCCTCCCCTCCATCATGGGGGGGGCCTGCTTGGGGGTTATATTTGGGGGTGGGATCGGCGGGGGCCGCATCGGTGGTGCCGCGCGTGACTACCCGAGGGGCTTTGCCCGGAGGGGGTCACGCCGGCGGAGGGGTCAGCATGGTCACCCGAGGGGCTTTGCCCGGAGGGTTGTCCCAAGGGTCTTTGCCCGGAGGGGGCCATGCTGATCGGTCCTCGGGGCCCGTTCGTGGAGCGGTTCCCGAGGATAGGGAGATGCCTCAGGGTGCTGGTTGGGGGTCTCCAGGCTGTGTAGACTGGGTCCCCGTCCCAGCGTTCTTGGGGTAGGCCGCACCCAGGCCGCTCGGACGTTATCCGAGGCAGGGCTGGGTCGGCGCAGACGGCCACGTATGGTCACCCGAGGGGCGTAGCCCGGAGGGTCTTCCCAAGGGGCACTGCCCGGAGGGGACCACACGGGTCGGCCGTCGAGGCCGCTCGGACGTATTCCGAGGCGGGGCTCGACGGCGAGAGGGGGGTCGCGGGGTGCTGGTTGGAGAGCTTGCTCTCGTCCCAGCGTCCCTGCGGCCTGCCATTCTCGGGCCGCTCGGACGTTTCCGGATCCGGGCCGAGGATGGCGGCGAAGGCGCGCCGCGGTTACCCAAGGGGCATAGCCCGGAGGGGTTACCCAAGGGGCATAGCCCGGAGGGTGCCGCGGCCGCCCTGCCCCAGGGCCGCTCGGACGTTTCCGAGGCGGGGCCTGGGGCGAGAGAGGTTATCTCCGGTCGGTCGGGACCGTTTCCCCTTCCGAACCGACCGATCGGGGAGGCGCTTGCCCCTCGTCGAAAGCCTTCGACGAGGGGCGCCCACATATGCTGGTCGCCACGGCGTGTAAAGCAGGGCCGGGGAGCGGCGACCCTGTCCAAAGCGTCCGTTGGGCCCCCCGGGTGGCGCCACCCGCTGCGGTGCCCGCGTTGTCGGAGGCGCGGGACCCCTGAAAACCCGTGTGGGCGTCAAATCCCACACGGGTGTGTAAGGGGCTCGGAGTCTGGCCGGGGTGCGGTATCCCCCCGGCCTAAGACATATGTCCCCTCCCCGGGGGAACTTGGGGCCCGGCCTTGGGGTGTGGCCGGTCATGTTTCGGGGCACCCCTTGGCCGGTGGGGGTATACCCTGGGGGACGGAGCCGCAGCGGGAAAGCGGGATTAAACAAGATGAATACTGAGACTAATTTCAAAAAAGAACCTTTGGATGGAGAAGAGACGCAACATGGACCAGTGGAAACACAGGTCCCGGGAAAGAAAACTCCTATGGTTTCGGATGAGGAAAGGAGCTATATAGATAAGGGGATCCTAGATCGGATCCCCATTGTTAGCGTGATGGAACTCGCATCGAACACGAACCAGACCCCGGTCGGCCCGAAATCATCGAGCAAAAGAAGCATGAGGGCGGTTAAAGACAGAGTGCGAGAAACCAGAAGAATGACAAGAGAGAGAAACAGAGAGAACGAAAGGTCCGCAAAGAGGAGTATGAAAGAAACTCCAACGGAAACGGACACGGAAGTGGAAGATACCGTCAGCATAAATAGCATGAACAGCGAGGGCCTGAACAACGAGGGAGAGGATACCCAAACTGGACATGCACTGATAAATATCTCCGATGCAAACACATTTCCTGCCTTCCCGAAAAACAACACAGGGAACAAAAACAGGGAGAAGAAAAGGAATTGGAAGGGGAACTACCGCAACCCATGGAACCAAGGAAGCCTGGAGGACCGGTATCCACCGGAGAAAATGCAGAAAAGAAGGAGAAAAAAGCCAAACAAGCTGAAGAGAAAGCTAGGCTTCATGAATTACAATTACTGGACCCCTTGTATACACCAAAACAAGGGAAATCATACAGTGGTTTCGTTAAGAGAATCAACGAAAAAGAAGAAGAATTCAAATTAGCACCCATCCGGGATTTGGAGGCTATGGTGTCCGAAAAGGCCATAGCTATCTACAAGATAGCCGTACAATCAGGGAACCTGAAAGGTACGCTCACCAAACACGCCAAAGATGCAGCCGCCGACATGTGTGCAGCGGCCACCACATTGGCTGTGAAGGCTCAGAATCCGAAAGAGATACCGTTCGGAAAACAATTGGAGGAATTGCGCCATGAAATATATCAGCTTAGAATAGAAAACCAGCAGCTGAAAGACAAAATAGCAAAACTGGAAAAGAAAAAGGCAAGAACAATGCCCCATCCAAAGGATAGTGAAATGGCAGAGGAATTTCCGCTCTACACAAGCAGCAAAAGCGCCAAAACTAGGATTAGGAGATGGGTCGAGGGAACCTCACTTCCACACAGAGGTGGGGAGGCCCCCACGACCCGAAATTTTGAGGAAACCCCACTTCCACCTCGCGGTAGGGAGGCCTCCTCGAGGGAGAATGTTGAAATGCGGGGGATCTCACTTCCACCATACGGTGGGGAGTTCCCGAGCACTTCAAGGAATACAAGGATAGGAGACAGGGAGGAGTGGATGGAGGTCACGGATGAAGAGGATGTCCTGTCACTCTCATACAAGACAAACCCCTGGACCAAACAAGAGAAAGGGGACCGCCACTCCCCCCCCAAGGCAGAAAATCTGCAGATAACAAGGGGAGGCAAAGACTATGCCATCACACAAAGAAATGCGGATGAGGAAAAGGAGAAGGAGAAACACATGGCCTGGATTGCCATGATTGAGGGAATTATAGAGAGGATCCTGGACAAGAGGTTTGGGTGCCAGGTCCCCACGTACGGGGTGACAATAAGGAATAGGGGAATACAGCAAGCGAAGAATAAGCAGGTAGCCCCAACAACAGGGACTACAGCCAACAAGCCAATTGTGAAGAGAGTGGAGGTGGTACAAAAGACGGTAAGAATAGCGCCAAATACCACTATTACCACACTAAACCCTCCATCACGACCAGCAAAGGAGAGGATCCCCCAACCCCAAAGGCCGAAAGAGGCAGCGACAAAGGAAGGGGACAAACTACCCCTACCAAAGAAAAACAAGGGGAAGAAACAGGAAGGAAGGAAAGAGAAACCCCAACCCTTAAGGGAGGAAAAATCTCAAACCCAAAACCGGGGAAAAGAGACACTAACGAGCGCAACCTCATGGAGCGAAGTTGTGTCCAAAAAGAATAGAGAGCAGGAGCCGCAACGGCAGCCGTGAAGAAGGCGGGGAAAAGGAAGGAAGGGGCGGAGAAGATCTCGAACCCAAACCCAACTCCCCCGAAACCCACCGCACAAACACGAGCAGCTGCAAAAAGGAAGGAGCCGAAAAGAGCGGCCATCACAATAACGTGCCCCCGGGGACATATGAGGAAATCCTCCGGGAGGCACGTCAAAGGATCGACACAAGAAGACTGGGCATAGAAGGTGCAAAAATAAGGAGAGGAGTCACGGGCTCCTTCATCCTGGAGATTCCTGGGCCGAACAGCCACGATAAGGCAGACAAGTTTGCCCAGGAACTAAGACGGGTGCTGATGGGCAGAGAAGGAGTCCACGTCCAGCGCCCAACAAAGATGGCGGAGTTCAGGCTTAGGGGTTTGGATGAAACAATCCAGGCCCCTGAGGTGAGAGAAGCAGTAGCCGTGGCCGGAGACTGCGAGGAGGAGGAAATCCAGACCGGGGAAATACGGAAAACCCCCGGAAGTATGGGGATAGTGTAGGTTCGCTGCCCATTAAAAGCGGCGAACCTCATTATGAAATCAGGGACAATGAGGATTGGATGGGCAATTGTGCGCGCAGAAATACTCGAGGCAAGACCCCTCCAGTGCTACAAATGCCTGGAGGGGGGACACGTGCGCGCACGATGCCCGAACAATGTAGACCGCAGTGGTAGATGTTACCGCTGCGGTCAAGATGGACACGCGGCCAAAAATTGCACGGCCGACGTGAAATGCCCGGTGTGCGCGGACAAGGGGCTGCTTGCTAATCACAGAGCGGGTAGCAGGACGTGCACGCCGGTGCAAAAAGGTAAGAGGGGCGTCCTCATCAATAAGGTGGATCGTTCCCAAACAGGGACCAAAGCGCCCATTAAGGGAAAACAGAAAGATCTCCAAGGCCAGGACAAGGAGCGCCCCCTTATCGACTTCAATGAGGAGCCCAAAGAATAACGAACTCCCAGAACTAGGGGGGAAAACGAGAAGAGGAGAAATTCTCAATAGAAGAAGACGCTAAGAGAAAGCGCCTCCGGGAAAACATAAAGGACGGAACACCCGACGAAATGGATATGTCGGGTGCCACGGACGTCAACAAGAAGGAGGATGGCTTGTAAATTATTACAAGCCAACCTCAACCACTCAGGGCCGGCCCAAGACCTCTTCATCCAAAACATGATGGAGAGGAACTGCGGCCTGGGGATTGTAGCTGAGCCGTACCGTGTCCCAGAAAACAACTGGGCAAGTAGTACGGACGGCTCAGCTGCAATCGCCCACAGAAGCGCGTCAAACTCTCCCCCGATGGAACCGTTAAAATCGGGGGAGGGTACTGTTACGGTCAGATGGGGGTCCATCATAGTTATTGGCGTGTATCTCCCGCCGAGTCTCAGCAGGGGAGATTTCTGCGGGAGATTGCACGCCATTGAGAGACAGCTGAGGGAGTTCCACCCTGCCCCGGTAATTGTCGCGGGGGACTTCAACGCCAAATCGAGCGTATCGGGTTCCCCGCGGGATGACTGGCGGGGTGAACAAACACTAGATTGGGTGGTGCGGTGTGGTCTCCTCTCCTGTAACAGGGGGAGGAAAGCCACTTGTGTTAGGAGGCAGGGGGAGTCAATCGTAGATTTGACATGGGTTACTCTCTCTGCCTCAAGGATGGTAAGCGGGTGGAGGGTGCTGACGGAGATTGAAACTATCTCAGACCACAGATATGTGGAATTCTCCGTCGGTGCCTTCCCCCGCGAGGTAGTTGAGCGCCGCCTAAGGAGGGAAGCTGTCTCTCGCAGATGGGCCCTTAAAAAGCTAGACCAGGACGCGTTTCTGGCCGCAGTTGAAGCGGCCCTGATGGTCAGAGGAGGGGAGAATAGGGGGGACCAAGAAGAGGAACGGGCATGGCTGCTTCAAACAATAAATTTGGCTTGTGATGCGGCCATGCCCAGGATAAAAAGAAAGTCCCCCCGAAAAACGTATTGGTGGTCGGAGGAAATCGCCGAAGCTAGGCGAGCCTCCGACCACGCAAGGAGAAGGATATATAAACGGAAGAAGTTCGAGCGGTTAGACCCCGAGGGATATCAGGACGCGTGGGACAACTACAAAGAGAAGAGAGATGACCTGCGCGTCCTGATACGGAAGGCAAAGGCGAGAGCCTGGGATGAGTTGCTCTCCCACCTAGACGAGGACCCGTGGGGGCGCCCCTACCGTATAATACTCAAAAAATTGAGAAGCGGGGGCGCTCCAATCACGGAGTCCCTAGACCCCCAATTTGTCGGCCGAATCGTCGACACCCTGTTCCCGCGGGAAGAGGGTCAAGCTGACCCGATTCCTGAGCGGGACTGGGTGTGGGACGAGGGGGCCATGGGGGTCACGGAGGGAGAGCTTAGAAACGCCATAAAAAAGATAAAACCGGGGAAAGCCCCCGGTCCGGATGGCGTTCCTGGGAAAATCTGGGCTCTCGCCTATCGGGGTCTGGCGGGACCCATGCGGAGGATGTACAACGAGTGCCTCCGCATGGGTCGTTTCCCACGAGAATGGAAGGAGGCAAATGTGGTCCTCCTTCCTAAGGAGGGCAAGCCGAGGGATGTACCCTCGGCATATAGGCCAATCTGCCTGATAGACGAGGCGGGTAAGATCCTAGAAAGGATCATTGCTGACCGCCTCGTCTACCATTTGTCCCGGGAGGGTCCAAATCTTAGCCAGGAACAGTACGGCTTCCGGGTCGGACGGTCCACGATAGATGCAATTCTTCGGGTCCGTTCGATTTCGGAGGCCGTCACGGAGGAAGGCGGGGTGTTGCTTGCCGTATCGTTAGATATATCCAACGCATTCAACACCCTGCCATGGCACCGGATTGGGGCGGCCCTGGAGTATCACCGGGTCCCCCCATATCTGGTGTCAATCCTGGCGGATTACTTCCGGGATAGGCGATTGGCCTATACTGATAGGAACGCCGAAGAACAAAAGCGTCATATGACATGCGGGGTTCCGCAGGGGTCAGTACTTGGCCCCCTGCTGTGGAACCTCGCATATGACGCTGTTCTTCGGCAAGCCCTCCCCTCCGGCTGTCACACGGTGTGTTACGCTGATGACACGCTGGTGATGGCCGGAGGAGTCTCGTGGGAAGACGCAGCCGCTCGAGCAAACATGGCGGTGCATCGCGTTGTGCGGCTCATTAAGCAGATGGGGCTCAAAGTGGCGCCCCAAAAAACTGAGGCCATCTTTTTACATGATGGCTCTCACGGGGCGCCACCAAGAGCCCACATCAGTGTGGAAGACACCTCGATAGAGGTGGGGGCCTGCCTGAAATACCTGGGCCTCCACCTCGATAGCAAGTGGACCTTTCGGGAACACTTCCGCCGTATATCCCCAAGGTGGAGAAAACAGCAATGGCGCTACAGCGCCTGCTGCCCAACCTTGGGGGACCTGGCGGGAGTGTCCGAAGACTGTACGCCGGAACAATCCACGCCATGCTCCTGTACGGAGCCCCGGTGTGGGTGAAACGTCTAAAGGCCACCCGCGGCCCAAGAGACGCCGTAAGGCAAGTCCAAAGGCGGGTGGCTAACAGAATATGCCGGGGCTACCGGACAGTGAGCTGGATGGCCGTGGGGGTACTCTCCGGAGTGCCCCCAGTGGAGATGCTCGCCCGCATGTACGCGGACGTATATACGCGTACGCGTGAATATCAGCGGGCGGGCATCATAATAACGGACGGAGTCCGGCGTACGGTGAGGGTCCACTCCCGACGGGCGCTGATCCAGAGATGGAAGGACAGCCTCGAAGATCCGAGGCTGCCAGGACAGCGCACCGTCGGGGCTATACGACCCTGTCTAGAGAATTGGCTAGACAGGGTCAAAGGAGGGGTGTCTTTTCACACAACGCAGGTGCTCACCGGACATGGTTGTTTCGGTGAGTACCTGCACAGGATTGGAAAAAAGCGCACAACGCGAAGCTGTCACTGTGGCCACGAGCGAGACACCGCCCAGCACACACTCGAAGAGTGTGCTGCCTGGGCGGGCGAGAGAGAGGAGCTCGTGGCCACAGTGGGGAGGGATCTGTCATTGCCCTCAATAGTGAGGGCAATGACAGATAGAGAGGAGGCCTGGAAGGCGTTCTCCTCCTTCTGCAGCAAAGTTATCCTGCAGAAAGAGGAGGCAGAGAGAGAGAGGGAAAGAGGAGTGACGGAGGATGGGGACGTGCCCCCTCTTTCCCCGGCACCGGCGGGCGTGCCCGCTCGTGGTGCCGGGGATTGGGGGAGGGGCGCCCCCAGTGAAGAGGAGGGAAAAGACACGGAATGGGGACCCCCTCCCGCTCCCCCGCCGCCGACGGGCGGGGGGTCGGGGGGGGGTACAACCTCCGTAGGAGAAGAGAAACGGAGGCGGAGGGGGGGGCTGGGCTTTCCCTTTCCGCGCCGTCGACGAGCTTGCTCGTTTGTGGCGGCGCGGATCGGGGGGGGTCCACCCCCAACAACATACCTGCGTCGGAATTTGACGCAGGATGAGGCTCCCGGGGGGGGGGGCCGGGGACAATTAAGCCCCCAATGCCCCCCCCTGAAGCCTCACGAGAGCCAGGCGTGCGGGCGTGACCCCCATTTTGGGGGTGCCCCCGCGCGTCCGGCAAGGTAAACCTCCTCGGCGGCGGCCGATTCCCAACTCCCAAGGGAGCGGAGGGAGCCGCAGCCGGGGAGGCCGAAGGGGGGCCACGTGTCCCTGTCGGGCAGGCTTCGCCTGTTCGGTCGGGGCGCCTGGGTCCCCCTCTATGAGGACGTGACATGCGGGGTCCTCTCACCGGGAGCCATATGGTACCGGTGGGAGGGCAACGCCGTCCACGGAGGGGGTCTCTCTCCTTCAGAGAGGGACCCCCTGGTGAGGGCTTCCAGGGTGAATGCCGAATCCCCATTCCCTTCGGGAGTGGGAGGGAGCACCACTCTGGAGGCGGGGGGTGGCGGCTCGAGCGGGATACTCGAGCCGTGACCCCGCCCCCCAACTCTTTGGGAGGGCGCGGCGTGGGGTCGGTGTCGCCCTGCGCCGCAACCGGGAGGAAACCGCGCAGTCATTGACTGCGCGGTCGGGGAGGGGTCTTGGCCGCAAGGCCAGGGCAGCTCCCCGGAGATGGCTTGGCGGGGGGGGCGGCGAGACGGCATGGAAATCCAGCATCCTCGCCGTCCCCCTATCCAACGCCCGAGGTGGACACCCGCAGTGGGTTTAGTGTAGTATGTCTTGGGCCCCCTGACCGATCCATTAGTGGATCGGCCAAGGGAACAAGAGTCTCACATAACCATCCGCTCTCTTCCCGGAGAGCGGTGGTATCCATGAGGATTCCCACTGCGTCAAAAAAAAAAAAAAAAAGGGATATGTGAACTGGCTTAAATACTCACAAGGTAGACAATGTCTAATGTGCCTTGCTATGGTACACTTCGCTACTGTGTTCTTCCCTCTGAGTCTGAAGATCTGAGGAGCCTCGGTACCTCGGTCCGAAATGGCGGCTGTGTCTCACCGAAATGGCGGCTATGTCTTCAGGACCCCGTAGTATTTGCTGGTTGAGTGCTGGATTGTTGTTGACTGGAACCACTGCGACGAAATCACTGCCGTTCCGTGCCGGGTGCACCGTAAATGTGGCTCGCTCCTCCCATCGGGCGATGCGGCTTAGCCAATGGCAAGAGAGGTATGCCGGGGAAGTACCGGAGACAATCTGTTCCTGGTAGAGATTGCGACGGTTAAGTCCTGGAGAGATGGTTTCTTAGTAGCGATAGCGGCGTTCCTTTGATGACTCATCGCCGGCCGCTCCGACTTTCCTTATCCTATTCTCGGTAGCGATAGCGGTATGCCTTTGTTGGCTATGCGCTCCGACTTATCTTATCTTCTTCTTGGTAACGATAGCGGTACTTCTTTGGTGACTCACCGCTACGCGGCTTGCAACGGGCCTTGCAGGTTGCAACGTGTTTCAGCGTTGCATCATGCTTT